CTCTCTCTCTCTCTCTCTCTCTCCCCCTTTCTTTCCCCCTTCTGCTCGTTCCTCGTCTTTAATCTCGTTCCTACAAAACGCGTCTCCATTTCCGCGGGATGAATGGAGATTTTCAAATGAGGAGGCGAAGGAGGGTGGACGATAAAACAATTCCCGAAGGTCTACGATTCGATTTATCGAACAGTTATGGCGAGCGAGGAAAATCCGACGGCGATAAAATGATCGGTGACGAGGGGTGTTTTATAGACGAGAGAAGGACGTCGTAACATCGATCTCGGCATTCGGATAGATGTGCTCTGATTATCAATTTCGCACATTGAGAAGTCGAATTTTGATTCATTTATTATCCATTTGGTTTGATATTTTGTTCATCAATTTGTCAAATAAATAATCCCTAATAAATTTTTGTAATTAAGAAACAAGTTTCCCATAAAATATATTTCTTTCGTCTAAGTCTCGGATTTATAAAATCCGTTTTAATCAAAGATTCAAAAATAATTACGATATTCGAATTAAGTGCTGTAAAAGAATAAAATTACTTTTGTAACAATCAAAAAGAAGGAAAAATCTTAAAGATACTAAACAGATTATAAAAAATAATTACTGTGAGATCTCGAGAATAGCTCAAATAGCTAATAATCTATTTTCTTACTCTATTCACAACGTATAATCTTTAATGATATTATATGTACATAGTCAACAAGCCACGTGCGAATATACAAGCTTCTCCGAGCTTTAAAGCCTTGCGAAACTGTTAATTCTCAAGAGGGTTATTGCTTATAATTACGCCTCGCTGTTAGGCATTATCCGACGGTCTTTCTACCCTTTCCGGAGAAGTCGCTGAGCCTTAACGAAGGCTAATGTCAGCCGGCGCTGGGCAGATAGTTTCTGAACATTAGCAATTATCCGGGGTCTTCGCAAACCCCATCATTTACCTGTACGCCATATTAAACCTTTCAAGACGATCATTTTCACGGTTTAAGCTCTAGCCACAGATAGCCATTTGTCTCTTTGAGCGATAAGTTTGTAATTAATTACAGCAAATTTTCGTCGAGTTACAGTAATTTGTGCGTAAAACGAGATATTACAAATGTCACCGTGTTATGTGCAAACCGCCAGGAAATCGTAATTAATTTGAACAATTGTAAGCAATTAACTGAACATTAATTACATGTCGCAATGTACTTTGTTATCAGTTACCAGTTCATTGTATGATTACAACATGGAATAATTTTCGAAAAGTGCTAAATATTATATTTAGCGCACTTCTTAAAATTTTCAAAAGGTTAATAACGTTTTCGATTAGTACCAAGCGAAGAGAGTTGAATAGAACGATAAATGTGTATAGATCATAAAATGCAAGAGCCGTAAACTCGCTGGGTCGATCATATCGATGGCCTACTTTAATAATCGCCACGCTGCTTACGGAACACGCAAAGTCGTAATTCGATCTCCCATACTTCGAGCTACCAGGGATCTAAATAGTTATTAGGTTTTCAAAGCCGGTCTGATATATTAGTCCAGTTGAAAAGTGAACGGACGGTAATTAACATTCGCGCGATACTAGTCGATAATTAATATTCGACGGGAGATAAATCTACCATATCAAATGTAATCCGTTGAGATTCCATAGAAATTAATTTTAATAATTATAATTAAAATTCCATAATTTAATTTTAATATACTTTAATGAGAATTTAAATGTTTTTTAATTTGGTTAATCGATCAAATTTTTATATAAAATTGAAAAATAAATATATATATAACATGCATTAATTTATTAGTATTTCTGATCAACATTTTTTCCCTTTCCTCCCTGTTGAAAGTATTCGATCACTTGGAAACAATGTAGAAACTAAAAAAAAAAAAAACCGAAATGCAATGCATCGTCCGTCTAAAAAATTTGGCAACCACTATCGTAAATTCTCTGCGTTTGGCAATTAATCAAGCTCGCAAGCCAGACAACCTAATGAAACGAGTACGTGCTTGTTCGATCTGCCAGATTGCAACTCCTCGCTTCATCTGAATGGTTCACAAAAAAAAAACAAGATATTTCGATCCTTTCTCAATACATGGTAATTAATCCATTGTGCACCACAGGAAGAAAATATAATCTATATACCAGATATAGATATTTCTGTAAATTTTAAAGCAAAAAGATAAAAAGTTCACGCTTTCATTATTATCGCGTTTAATTATTTCATGAAATATGTAATATATTCAAACGTCCAAAAGCCATCTTTCCTTTTGTGTAAAAAGCGATTGGAATATTTTTCTAAATCATTTCCAAACACATAAACATGTTGTTTCACTGACAAGCAAATACATCGAACTAAAATTCATTTATTTCTCTTGTACGATGTATCATCGAAAGAACGCTTAAGTATAAATTTAATAGGGCTTTATGCTGCCTCCGTATCCATTCACACGTTGCTCGACGCATGTATTTTAGATTAATTGAATCCGCAATTCCGATCGCGAGTATTCGCAAAATCCCGCTTGTATCGCATGATTGGCCTGTCACTTCAGACTGATGCAAGCGGAATCGATCGGTCCTTTCACTCGCGAAGCGGATACTCGTCCTCCGGAGAGGACTTGTCAAGTAGCATCTCGACCGTACCGTACACGCGATCGATAAGCCATTGCGTATGCACCCACGCACGTACGCGTCGTTCATCACGTTCTGACAGATGTAGGTTCGCGGTTATTAATTTCAGTCGAAGCTCATCGCCGATTTGAGCGAGTATGCGTGCGCGGAGGAAGACCACCCAGCGGCGAAATTCACAACCGGAGAATTTTCTCATGTGTACATCGACTCGTAAAAATCACTCTCGCGAGAGCCTTATCCTTAATCCTGATTAATAACCGGATTAGCACCGATAATATTTTAATAATATAGAACTCCCGCTTTATCGCTTGAAACGCGAAGCGTCCTTCCATTGGAATATCACAAAATCGCGCAAATTAAACTTTTTTCTACGCGTAATATTTATACGCTTATATTACAAGATTATATTACATGTGTTAGAAGTGCTCGCAGTTTTACGAAAGAAGAGCCTCGAGAGATCCCCCGAAGCCTTCTTCGGGAACAGCGAGGGAAGTGGAGTAACTTCAGACGGGAATTGAGGATGTTTGAAGACTTACCCGACGAGGAAGAAGAAGAAGAAGATGGCCGCGACGTAGGTTAAAGATCCCTGGAACAAAGAAAACGAAATTAGAGAAGTTTTCAGAGTGTACCAGAATTGCTAGTCGCAATATTACAGTATTCCGCCACTCTTAATCTTTAAATGCGCAAGTTTCTTTGCCACTGATTTAAACCGCTCCGCTCCGAAGTTACGTGGCAAGATTTTTACAACACGAGAAGAGCCTCGGGAAGAAAGAAATCCCGCGCGATTGAGAGACAAATTGGACAGGATAATTGATAAACTTCTTCCCGAAGTACTTTGGATTGATATTTTCAAAAAATAGAGATTAAATAGAGATTTAACAATGACAAGCTTATAATAAAAGAGTAATTTATATTTCTTTAAAAGTTAACAGATTGAAGACGATTTAAAGATAAGCTTTTCAATTATATGCACAATTTGTCTTCGTTTTACAACCAAGCGTTAGGAAATCTAAAAGCTTATATTTAATTATCGGAATAAAACGTACAAAACAGATTCAACGGAATCCATTTTTCAAAAAATATTTAAAAAAGCACAATGAATAATTACGATACTTTCATTTCAAATCGAAAAAAAAAATTAACAAAGGAATAAAGTCTTATTATTTATTCGTAGTCCATTAAATTTATATTGACGAAACTTACACACTTAATAAAAGAATTCGTATGTACGTACATAATTTGAAAAATCCTCTATTAAAATCCGAATGTTTTACAAGACATTAGTTTCTGAAATCATGTCTCGCGTATTGGCCACAGTTTGTATATTCCGAATGTTTGGACGATATTAATTAAGTTCGCTCGGTGTTGCAGTCGATATGACTGTTTCAGTTGACGGCAGAAAGATCGAGTCGGTTCAACAAGATATCCTCGTTCCTAACCGCGGAAATGTTTCGTCGACTTCGTGCATCGTGTGAATTCTCCGCGAACTTTCCTCGACTTTGATGTAAAGCCATTCAGATTATATCCCGTCGCCCGACCCGATTCATAATGAATCCCTAACGAACCCAGTGAATTAGAAACGCAGATTCCTCTCATGAAGACGTTTGTAGATTAATATCGCTCCTCGCGACATTAACCGAATTTATTCGTATTATACAAATTTGTCCGCGGTTAACTTAAAATTATTCGAGCTGCTCGAATTTATTCGCGCATTACCTCAACTTATTCGTATTATCTTGCGAAAAGCGACTTCAAACGTTTGTGCTTCGCTCGAGCGCATTGCCGAGGGATGTAAAATCTGGAAAGGAACGATATTACGGAAACTTTGAAAACGGTCCACGCACTTTTCTCGAGCAGTTTCTAAACGGCTATCGAAAGTCCAAACGCCATTTTCCAGCGAAACTTCTCGGAATTTCTCTTTAGTAGCCTGCTGGAAAAATCTCATTTGAGTCGAGTTTTTTGTCCCTAAAAACTTATAGCTATTCTGCAAACAAATCTCGAGAAGTTTTCCTATTTTTACTATACATATGACCGCCGTTTTATTTGCCCTAACTAATGTATAACGCAATAAAAAGCTCATATAAGTATCTAATTTCTCTCAACATAAAATAATACCATTAAAAATATATATATCTAATCTAATTACATTAAAATTTAATGGGATTAAAAGAAGACAATTGTAGGCATATAAGTGAGATCATATGCAATTAAATTAAAAAGTTTTAACGCATGTTCTAAAAATAAATTAACATGACAATAACGACAATAAATTTATACGATAATAACAAACGTCCATTTCATAAAATTTTATTTATATTATTGATAAAGTTACTTCGCGATGGAAGCTTCTCCAACTTTTTCGCAGATTCAAAAGATTGGCAAATACACCATTTTGCATTCAAGAGAAAGTTTTGCCGGCTTTATTGCGATAAGACGTAAATGTCGGTGGACTATTCATAAGTCATCTCGCCCACATTAGGAAATCGAAGTGCAGCAATGTTAACGACGCCATTCGGTGATGCAGTTCCGGTCATTAGCGTATGTGCCGCGCGATGCATCGTCGTGAGCGGCACGATAAAGTGCGCCGGAGCAGCAAAAGCCGGTGCATTAAGGTCGGCAAAAAGCTCAAGCTCGTCAACATGTGTGGCTACTACATATTTCGCGTTGTAAATATCCGAACATAAATATCCGACTAGCCACGTGGCCGTTGGATGGCTACGTTCCTTCACGAGAATAAGCTTCGTGTTCCTCTTCTCATCTTCTCGCGGCGATAACGAGCAGAAATTAATTAATAACGACAAAAATGCACTATCGTGAATGGGTGAATGGGAACGAACTATTTCGTAATCAATATAATTTTTCTAATAAAATTTTCTAATACTTTTTTCTAATAATCTAAGTTGAAATATTCCATTCAACTTTCCATTTTGTCATTTTTAACATTAACTACTTTATTATTAAAATTTCAAATATAAATTAATGTTTTTAAAAAGATTTATAAAGTAAACTTCGTCCACCGCGTTCATATTAAAGTTTATAAAAAACCATATTAAAATTCGCAATGAGACTTTAGTTACTCGCTATGCATGTTTATCATAATATCTTCTTAATTAAGAAAGATAATTTTTTAATTTAAATATATATATATGATACGTGAGATATAATACAAGAGATAACATTTCACATAAATTATTGTAGAATATTTTTTAAAAATGTAAAATATATAAAAATATATAAAAATATAAAATTAGGCTTTTACCAATAATTAAGGCATTAATATTTCCTTGAAATATAATAATAATAGATAATACAAGTAATTTTCTCCTAAATAATATTGAAATTTATATTAATATTCAATTATATTTACTATAATTGATTATGATAAAAATAATTGACCATTTTAAAAGATTATTACTATTTCAGAAGTTCTTGCATTTCATAATGTAATAATAAAATATAGTTAATTTTTTGCTAGAAAATGCATTAAGCTAATAATTTTAAAATAATCATTAAGCCAATGCATCGATTATCGTTTGCGCGTTTATAGAACGTTTCGCTGGAAACTAAATAAAATAATAAATTTTTCCGTTTTATCTAAAATGTTGTGAAATATTTCTCAATCATAATACTGTATTCTCCAAATAATTTTCGTTACAACAAAAAAGGATCTCTCTGAATAATAGTTTAATATTTGTATTTATTATTTTTTAGATTTTAAATTCGAAGATTCTTTAATGGCAGATACTTTATTTGCAAATAATACATCGAGTCATATTTATTTATAGTACTATGAGCAAAACGTGTGTGTAAGAAATAGAATGGGATTCGTATATTCCATTGATACTGACATAGTTCAGAATTTTATAAGATTCTTTAGGCGCCTCTCCTGCAGATCGCATCCATAGAGAGATCTACAATCACCATTTTCCGTCGACAAGTTTCATATTTCTCATCTGCCAACATAGCAATATTCCATATACATGCGCAGCATTATAGTCCGAGTCTTTCTTCTATTGAGTATCAAAGAAATGGTCGACTGCATCCTTCAGAATATCAAATAATCTTTTCGAAGAAATCTCCTTGGACTTCACAATAAAACACAATAAAAATTACTTTTGATATTAAATATATCGTAAATACACCCTACATATGACAAACTTCATTTGCAAAATTTGCAAAATTTTGATTAATAATAATCCCACACTTTTTATGATAATATTCTTATCCCCATAACACGCCTGACTTTTCCCATCAAGAAAATTTTGCGACTAGTTGTGGCCTCGCGGACATCGAGTTTCTTCGTGGAAGAAATCTCTTCAAATTCTTTAATTTAACATTCTCTGATGAAACGTTTTCGTATTTCGATAATCATCGATAAAAGTCGCCTCAAGCTGAAAAAATAATACGATACGAGTTAGTTTTCCTTCGCTTGAAATGAAAGGCAAAACAACATCCTTCTAATGAAAAAAGGATCGGAACATTGAACTTCTAGCATTATCGACACGTGGCGTCACAATCGGCCGGAAGTCTCCTTCACTTTTCGCGATTCGCTTTCCCCGGGAAATAGGATGCATCTTGTAGGATATAAAAGAAAAGAAAAATTCTCTCCGTCCTAATCTAAATTTGACACTCGCCAATTTAACTTGGTTCGACCGGCAGATTACCGGGCCGAGTCTACAATACGGAACGGAAACTCTGGGAGCCTTTAACCAGCATGCCATTTCCCAAGAGTCTTTTTCCGGCAGCAGGTGCGGCCTTTATTTTTCCCGCACGTGTCTATAGTTAGTCGAGAAGCTTTAGATATACAGTGTTGTTGCCATTAACCCCTTCGGTTGTATTAGCGCGACACACACACACACACACACACACACACACACACACACACACACACACACACACACACACACACACACACTTTAATATATATATATACATCGACACAGGTTCGAATAAAAGCAAACAAAATTTAAATAAATGATCACTTCGAGCTCTTCATTAGTTCGCTGTTGACATCATATTTTATGTTGATTAATGATTAAATTTGTTTTAAAGTGCTTAAAAATATTTTTCGTAAATTTTAATCAATTTTTCTGTCATTTTTTTTATCATTTTTGTTCTATTATTTTACATAACCAATTATCGTAATTTATCTTTCGGTGAAATCTCAACAAACTGTAATTGCGAAAAGTTCTAATATAATTTTTGATACTTTCGATCACAGATATTTCCTTAACTTCCCTTGCGTGCCAATAATCAAGCGATAGGCGTGATATCTCACGTATTCCAAGAATGTTAAATTAATCATGAACAAAGACATGAACAAAGACACTCAACCGCGTGTTTAATGTACTTGATTATGGCTTGATTATGGAAATTTCAAGTCGACTATGAGGTAAAGATAAGATAAAGCAACAATGTTAACAATGTTGATATGGTTACTCATTATACCGATCAGATCATGAGTAGCTCGTCGCATAGACACCATCATTTTTTTTTATCACAAATCGGTAATCTTCCTTGATCGGGAAAGAATGATGGGGATCTCTTGTTGAACGATCGACTGTGGCTTTCCCGAGCTTTCGGTTA